TGTAACCTTGGTGTTTGCAAATTAGCTGTGCTTTTATGTTTTGCTGTTTTTGAACTTCTTAGTGAAGCAAAAGTAAAGACTGAATTGCTGCCCTAGACTTCTGCAAGGTGTTTGCCATTATTTTTTTTTCTTGTTGTAGTAAAAAATTGAAAACTACTTCTGCAAAAGTACTTCAAAGCTCATATATACATGCACAATATATATATGAAATATGCATGCTAGTCTTTGTCTCCATTTTGTCATCAGACTTCTTTGAAACTGTATTTTTGATGTTCAGGTTCTTATAATGCCTCCAAGCTTTATTTCATCTGTTCATATTCAGCAGAATTTTGATTATATCAGAATTAGTTCTAGCTTTTAAGTAAAAAGACTTTATTTATTCTTTATTACACCTTGCTCAGATAATTTCACCGAATGTTCAGTCAACACATTATTACTGTTAGTCAGAATGTAAATTAGAGCCTGACGCACTTGCCTCATCAGTTTACAAATTAAGCAGTTAATCAATTTTGGTGCGATATTCCCCCATGAGGTTTGTGTTGCTGACTCACATATGCTCAGTATCTTCTCCCCTCAACAACAAGCAGCAGTGTAAATGAAGCCTGCTCCCAGCTGAGCGTTTGCTGGTCACGGCATTCCGAATCCATCACTCACTATATCCTCCTGATAGATATTACTGTCTTATTGCTTCTCGTTACCTCTTTCCTGAGCATTGGGTGAATACAAAGCAGACAATTATATATGCATACTTAAAGCTAACAAGGGGGGACAGTATTATTCCTTGTATTACTGAGGGATGAACTGAGCATTGGAGCTTCTGCTTGCTTCTAAATATGTATACGGTACTCGTAATAAAGAGCAGATATTTCTATAACTTCTGTCTTCCAACGAAGTATTGCAGTGTTTAGGTTTTAAGAAAAGAATTTTACTATTCATATCGTAATGTAAGCTTGAGAAGGAGGAGGGCAGCTTGATAAATGAACAGAAATTTTACCTATTTTTGATGTCACAGAAATCCCAGTTATGGTTCTGACTGTTTACTCAGCAATTAAAATCAGTGGAATCACGATTTTATTCCTGACTTTCACCGTAGCCTGTAGTCATTGTATTTCTGTTATATCTGGGGGCAAACAAAGTATTTTACAGTACAAACTTCCACAGACTTTTTAACTGGTGAAGAGCTATCTTTGGATTGTCTTTGTGTGATTTTCCACTTATTTGTTGTGTTGTTTTGTTTTTGTTTTAATGAGAAATGCTTAATATTTCTTTGGCCTTGGACAAATTTTAACAAAACTAATAGACTGTAAGAGTGAGGCCTCACCTACACTATATATTTAGCCATTAAATATAATGTTTTGTAGGTTAGTTGTTGTCCATACCTTTATTTTATCTTAAATTCTATCAACAAAATTTTGTGTGTGTCATAGCCTAAGAGGAGAGCCAGTTCTACTTCTTCCCCCAGTGATAAAAGTGCTGTGGCTCTGCAGCCTGGTATGAGCAATTTTATCAGAACAGGAGTCCAGCCACACTTTATCAAGCATCATATTATCCATAGTTAAGGTCAGGGTGTGGATTTATTGGTTGTCTTTTTAAAGAAGTCATAATTTCCTTAAGACCCAAGGGTCACTCTGACTAACTCTGGGTTTTAAGCACTGAAAGTGTTTAATCAGCTGCTTATTGATTAAAACCTTTCTGTGCTTTGCTTGCTTGCCAAAAGAAAGTCCTTTAAATTTTGCATCTCCTGCTGTCTAAATTAAAGTCTGGATGTAAATCATCTCATTTATAGCCCTCCTCTGTAAGATCCAGCTCTTCAGCTGACAGCACGTTCAGCCTTTTCCTTTCTTCCTCTCTGTCTCTAGTGTGATCTAGGAGTCCCTCAGCCCACTTCTAACAGTGCATTATTCTGAGTCTGTGGGCACAGTTCTGGCTGAACGTTTTTAAACCCACCTGATATTTCTCTGTCCAGAAAAATAATCCTGTGTTACTCCAGTCTGTAGCAAGGCAGAAAAAAGTGAAGAATTATGCATGCTTGAATTCTTGTAGATACTCAGAGGTTGCAGAAGCAATATTGATGTATGCAACAAATGTACAGGTGGATAGCGATGGTTCTCTTGTTTTTTTGAGAGTGGGAATAAAGTTCATTCTCGTGCTTACTGTTACAGGATGTAACGGGACTGGATGAATTGATGAGACAGTGAGGTAGTAGCAGTGTTACTGTTGCTGGCTGATGAAGTTCAGCTTCAGATTGTCTTCAATTGAATAATAACTAATAGTAACTCCTATATGAATATGAACAGGCACACTTTTTTTCTGGTAACCATAATATCTCTCTGAAGCAATTCTGAATCTGAAACAGTGTGTGAAAAACTGGAAATGATTTTTTTCTTCTTTTTTAAACTTTCATTTGCAGACTTTTAGATCTGAGAACATCCTGTTTCTTGTCAATGGAGATGCATGAGGGAGGATTAAAGAGAAATATTTCTCTTCTAATATGTTTGAAATATGAGTGTGTAGGTTTTTTTGCCCCTCCATAGAGCTAACAAGAAACAGACTGGGGATGTTCCCACAAAATCTAAGGTTGGCCAGAGAGAAACAAGGTGACAGAGTGAATGTGTATAAAGAACTCTAAAGGGAGCAAAGAAGTTATTTTTATTTCTCTACAATCTAAAAGCTAGATATTGCTTGCTTTTGCTTCATCAGGTTTGTCTTTTCCAGATGTCAGTCACACACGTTAGTTTCATAGAGGCTTGATGACTTTGCTAAGAGTCCTGCATGGCCACACATGCAACTGTCCATTTTACCACTGTTAAAATGAAGCATGTCTTACATTTAATTTTTATTGTTGAATAAGATTAAAATACCATGAAATGTGCATCTTGTGAAGGTTAAGTAAAATTAAGATCTCTGAACTTAAAAAAATACACCACGTGCAGAAGTGTTCACCTGATGTTGCAAATGGACATGCACTGTATTGCAACATTATTTATGAATTATAACTTACAGTATGCAAAAATTGTTATTGTTTATTTCATAGGAGGAATGGTGGTGTAATATGCTTTTTGTGACTGACTCAGAGTTTTCACTCTACAAAATCAAAAATCCTGTTTTTCTCTTACAACATGCTTGTATTATTTCACTTCTGCCCTTGAAATTGTAATATCAGGTACAAACAGCAGACGTAATGGAGACATTTGCTTTAATCTAGTTTGTTGATCTACCAAAAGCAATTATCCTTTTACATTTTGCTGGGGCTGAGCTGCACTCTCTTGCTGTGGTCAGTACAGCCAGTTCCAGCCAGGTGAGCCAGGGAAGATGCAATTGTGCTCAACTTCTGCAAACTGGCATAGGATTTCAGTGCCGTAGCACCCTGAGAGAACTGCACGTGCCTATTGCTTTTTTCTGAAAGTCCTAGGCTCTTAGAGTTTAGACCTTCACTTTGTATCCCTCCACACGTGAAGACTGCACCATTGTCCTAACTTTCTGAAGACAAACAGAAGGGATTAGAAGACAGGATTTGCATGTCTTCCATCTGCTATCACAGTGCAGGTTAATCTGTTGTATTCCATGCATCTGTTTCCCCATATTCTCAGAGAGTGCTATTTTTGCACAGCGTTGCAGTGATTTCTGTCCCTTAAAACTCTCCAGTGTTGTACCTGCTACATTTTCACCAAAATCAGGTGTTGCTACAAGGTTTTTGCAAAGCAAGTTAATTCAGAATCTCAGCTGTCAAAATTTCTTGTTTTGAGGGTCTCTTCACTTACTTGGACAATGTACTGGGGCATGGGTTGCCTGGGCTGCACTGAGTAAAGAGGAATTGACTTGGGCCATATATAAAATATATAGTTAACATGTGTAAGTAACAAAACTTCTTTTGTGTATGTATATTAATTTTATTTTTTAAATTGTGCAACAAACCCATAAAACTGGTGGAATATTTAACCTTGATTTTGTGAAACTAATGCATCAGTCTGGTTCAGTGGAAGTGGTTGCAATTTTCTGTGTGTTTCAAGGCAGTTGTCTGAGATTTTTGATGAAACTTTGCTCTTCTGTACTTCATCCTTGAAAAACAGTTGTTCATAAATGTATGTATTGCCAAGACACAGTGATATGAATAAAGTGTGATTGTGAACCAAGAGATATTTTTCTGTAGTAGAAGAGGGCTTATAAAAGCTTAGTAAAGTGACATGATCAAATTTTTGAGTTGAATGTCTGACTTCAACTCGGTGCATTTCATGTGAAAATTTGCAGGGAACGTATTTATGTCGACTGAAAATGGAACTACAGATATACAAAAAAAGTGGATGGTTTTTTTCAGCAATCTCAAAGCCTATTTTCAAACTGCCCCCACATGGTTAGAACAGTGGAAGCACTATTTAAAAACATATCGCAAAACTAAATAAAAACATATTGCAAATAATTTAATTGCTATTTTATTATTACCATAGTAGATGTGCAATTCATATTCTAGTCAGGAAAGACTGCCAACTTGCCACTGAGTGCTTCACTTAATAGGAGCAGACTTGTTCTCCAGGCTTCACAGACTTAATCTCAAAATGCGTTTAGTCTTTTCACCTCCATAGCTTTGAGTGGGAGTGTTGCCTGGAGTGAGGAAGTGAGTGAGTGTTGGGGAATACCAACTGAAAAAAACTAGGTCACTGTTGACTGCAAGTTGCTTTTCTACAGAGTTGTTTAATTTTCTTTTTTATGCTTTTTTGAATTGAAGAACAGTGGAGTTTTGTTGGGCTATTCTAGAGATGAAAAATGAGACTAGATTGATCTTTGGTCCAACACTACATGCATATATTACTGGAAAACCTTGTTGCTGATAGACTTACAAATGGTGGATGTTGATACCTCCAGACCACAAAACACTTCAACAGAAAGTACATTGCTAGAGGAAGTCTTCTGGTCTGAAATGGTCCAAATTTCCCATAGAGCTACACTGGTTTATTTTTGTGCTGTCCCTAACTGATAATAGTTATTTGTTTTGTGTTTTACAGTGAATAACCCTATACCTTCCAACTTGAAGTCAGAAGCTAAAAAGGCAGCTAAAATATTACGAGAATTTACAGAAATAACTTCCAGAAATGGACCTGATAAAATCATACCTCGTAAGTAAAGGAAATGTTATGATTCAGCTAAAACCTCCAGTTCTCCCTTCTGTTGAAATCCATCTCTCTATTTATGCCCTTTGTTTTTACTGAGCGTTAACTCAGAAAGGAGTGAAGAACTGGACTGTTGTAACTCCTCTGAAAATATTTTGGAAGTAAAGATGTTCAGTTTTCTGGGTTATAGGCAGACATTGCCTATATCTTTTGCATGTTTATAGCCACAGGTTATCTGCACAGGAAGGCCTCTCTGGGCTGTAATGCCTCTCATTCACCATGTGAATGTCCATTTGTAAGGAGAACTTTGAATAGTAGCTATAGATTTTGAATATCTTTGTTTACTGGAGTTACCTAGACGAAAAAAGATTGCCTGGATGAGGAGCTACGAGATATGGTTTAGTAGCTGGTGGTACTAACAGGAATGGGAAGGCGGTTGGACTAGAAGATCTTGCAGGTTGTTTCCAACCTTGTGATTCTATGATTCTATGAAAATAAGTTAAGGAAAGAGATCAGGGTACGTTTCTACTTTGATAATGGTTAAACACTCTTACATGCTTCTGTCCTCCTTATTTTTGCAATTGTTGTTCTCTGTTTTGCTTAGGTATTGCTAGCTGTGGCTTTGAATTTATATCTATTATGTTCCAGAAGGTCTGTAATAAGACTTTCAGGATGATGACATTTTACTTGACAAAAACACTGTGTAATGATGTAAGCTGATGTGTGTCACTGTGATTTAAATTCAGACTTCACTCCTCCAAAAATTGGAAGAGTCACAAATGTGAACTATTTACTGCCTCATTGTCTTACTAAAAGACCTCACACACAGTATGCATGGCAGTAAGCAAGCTTATTCTGTATGAGCTAATCAGAATAACTAGAACAGTTGTGGAAGTGTAGATCAGTGCACCTAGCTTTGTAGTTGACTATGGAGTGGAGGTGTCATTATTAGTAAGCTTTTGCTTTAATTATTTGACTTCTGTGTGTTAAAATTGTTAAACGCAGAATTTTATTTTCCTTTTCCTGTGAACTCTGACAAGGTTTTGAATAAATGATTTTTGTGTTTCAGCCCATGTGATAGCTAAAGCCAAAGGCCTTGCAGTTTTGTCTGTTATCAAAGCTGGATTTTTGGTGACTGCTCGAGGTGGAAGTGGAATTGTATTAGCTCGTCTTCCTAATGGCAGTAAGTGGATGTTTTCCTTCTTTACTTCATGAGAGAATTAAAAGCTTTAAAATACACACACGCACACATGCATATGAAAATGTCTGATTAGAAAGCTGTTTTCAGAATTTTATACCTGCTTTTTACCAAGTGTTCTCAGTATCTTTGTAGAAAAGGACGAAATATAAAAACATATAGTTTGAAACTCATTAGGAAAATGAATTATATCCAGTAATGGACAGCTGTATACCAAATAATTTGTAACATAGAGATTTGTTTAAATGAGGATTTGTGTGTCTTGGATTCTTTACTGGGATAAACTAGTGTCTTTATATGATTGCATTCCAGTTGTTAGGGACATAGTTTTAAGTAGTTGCAAGTGATTTTGAACTGTAATAATTAGATGAGCATTTCTTGTAATCTGTGGTAATGTTTTTGTAATTTTTGTTTTGTTTGACAGCGTGGTCTGCTCCTTCTGCAATAGGAATTGCTGGCGTTGGTGGTGGATTTGAAATTGGAATAGAGGTATAATTTTGCATTTGAAGTACTTGTTAATTACTTTTTTTTTTTTTTTTTCCCAAGCAATTAGATGCGTTGAAAAAGATGTAAATGCTGGTAGTGAGAGAGATGGTGAGATCTGTTTTTCAGAGAAGACGAAAAAAGAAAAACACTTTTTTAAAGTTCACATATACAGTCCAAACAAATGTGGAGTTTTAATCCTATTAATCGAATTATTTGGAGAGATTTAAATGAAAATAAGTGATTTAATAGCCGTTTCCTTGATTTCTTAGGGAAGACAGAAATCTTCCTTTTTAGAGAAAATTCGAATCAGAGTTCATATATAAGACAGAATTAACTAACGGTATACTGTATTTAATGGTTTATCAAATGCTTTGCTAAGGAGTACAAGGACTCCATCTAGCAATAAACAGTGAAAGTAACTGAAGGTATAGAATACCACTATACTTCATGCATTCCTTATTCAAACTGTGATTCTTGACTACAGCCTTCAGTGTGAGAGCACCAAAACTGATGGTACTTAAACTGGAAGCTTGCTACAGAAAATAAAAGATTTTCCATCTAGCAGAAACAGTGAAATGAGGAACTTTCAGCACATCCAAGGAGGAGTCCTGTTGATCTGAACTCTGATCATCCACTGCTGCTGCTTTTGTCTTATTCCTCACAGCTTTTTCACATTATTTGTTACCATGTCTTCCTCTTTCCTGCCCTGCTTTCCCATCCATTTTCTTTGTTTAGCTTCTCTTCCACTGATTCCTAAATAAAATCAAATGTAACAGTGTGCTGCCAACAAGATCTTTTGCTATGAGAATTCTGCTCTTCTTTCTGAAGAATCCATGCAAAACTGATCTGGGTATAGACTGAGCCCCCAGTATGTCCTACACAAGTAACTGGTCATCCCTCTCCTGTCAACTACTCACCCGGTACTCACATAATGAGTAACCGATAAGTATTTTTTTTATATCCTCATAGTTCAGCATGTGATCTCAGGTATTATTACTGTGCACTTTTTAAAAGATGCTGTGAATAAAAAATTAATAATTTTTGCAAGGGTTTTCCTTTGTTTTTCTTGACTACAAGTTTGGAACGCATTGCAAAATATTGTTAGATGTGCCTCAGGAGGTTTTTATTTTGTATTTTTTCCTTTAGTGATAATGAAACAGACTCATTAGATGCCTTGATTAATCTGTGAAAGTTTTCCTGTAATCATCTCCATGTGATATATTAGATAATATAACCATTTACTACTGATATTTACTAAAATAATTTAAATACACAAGATATTTCCAAGAGAACTTTTTTTTTTTTTCTGAACATTATGCACTTCATTTGAAATTGTAGTCACTCTCGTTTTACAAAATAGTGTTTTCTTTCTTTTATAACGTAAAGTTAGAGGAGAAATTTAGAAGATAAATAGCTGAGCTGCTTAGGAGTTCTGATTCCAATTCAGCAATGTTTTAGCAGTTTAAGAGCTTAAACCTTGTAGAAATTGCTTGCATTTTATTCATACAGGAAAGATTGTAGTTAACATAGTCACGTTTATACTTATGGGTAGTTTTTAACAATAAGAAGTAAGTCACAGATTTCTCTAGTCGTGGTATTAGCATAATGGTTTTCCAAATGAAAATGCTTGGTACTTCAAATTGAAAATCTGTTTTAAAATTCTTGAAATGCTTTCCTTAGAGGTCTTTCTCACAATTAATTCATATTGCTTTAGCTATGAGTTCATCCTCTTTATGGGTAAAAAGAGATGGCAGCATCCCTGAATCGTGTTCTCTCTACATCACTGGATGATGAGAAAACTGTTAATGTCAGACCTTTTGTATGGGATGGGGTGAGATTAAGAGAAGCTGATAACAAAGGCCTCCCTTACATGGTGTTTAATACTCATGGCTAGCACTGTTTTGCAAGTAATCTGATATTTCCTCTTGTATTTCCTGCTGCCACTGTTTGGAATTTGGGGTAAGTTGAAAAAAGTCAACAACTGAACAGTCTACTTTATTGAACTCTGAAACAGTCTGCTGTACTGAGTTTAGCATCAAATTCACCTATTTTTTTTTTTAAATACCTGTGTGTTTGATGAGCTTTCGGTTATGGTATCATGATCTTTACAGGAAAAGACTTGAAAGACTTTTTTTTCTCTTAAAACAAATTATAGGATCGTTCTATTGAAACTTATGAAGAGAATTATAGTTTTATGGTACTGATGGCAAAAGGCTGGGTTGTAGTTGAAGTTCTTCTATATCTTCATTTTGTATCATAATCCAGATGAGTGTTAGAGTGTTAGAAAACACTCATATTTTTTTCTTATATTTTGCATTTGTGTTTTTCAAAAATACCTTCTCTCTCCAACTATTTCCCTCAATAGTTTCTTGAAGAAACTGGCTACATCTCATAAATTGAAGTCTTACAGAATCCCGATTTTCTGTCAAGAAAATACAGTTTTGTCGATTATAGGAAAAGCAGTATCCTTTCTGTTGTTCTGTTGATTTTTTTGTATTATTCTTTGACGGGCAAACAAGTAATTTTTGTTTACTATTTTTTCTTGCTGTTACCATTAATTGCTATGGATTTTCTTAATCTCATGTCTCTTCAATTCTGAAAATTGCCTTCAAAATTGTTTGCAAAAGCTTTATAAAACTAAAAATTGTTAATTAGGAACTTCTGAATCAAAATAGTGTTTCTAATATAACTGTGTTTATTGCATTGAGTAAAAAACTATGTAACAGGATTTTTAGCTTCCAAACATCTTGTAGAAAAAGAATTAATTTCATTCAGAAAACTATTTCAAAAGCATTATTTGCAAGAATGGAAGTAATTATCTGAGAGGATGACAGATTCTAGATTGAATTAAAACTTTGATACTTTAGTTTTTCATATGGGGGAGGAAATTTCTTCGATGCTACTGCCTACTTTCCCACCAAACAGATTTTGCTCCCATGCACTTCAGACTTTCTTCATAAAAAGCATGGTACTTTTGTTTGATGTTTTTATAGGTTTCAGACTTAGTAATAATATTGAATCATGAGAGAGCAGTAGAAGCTTTTGCTAAAGGAGGAAATCTTACACTTGGAGGAAATCTTACTGTGGCAATTGGACCTCTGGGGAGGTGAGAGTAAAATCTTTTTGTTATATGGATGAGATTTAACTATGGAAGATATTTTTTTCTTAAGCTATATAAACATTTGCATGGATTTCTCTAATATTTTAGAAAACAATCTTTGCAAACCAATATGTTGACTGGACCTTATTGTTTCTGTAGTGTTATATAGTGTTAAACTGTTTTAGTTACTTGTTGCTTTATCTTTTTTTCTTTTTTCTTCTTTTTTTTTTTTTTTTTTTTTTTTTTGCCTTCCATGATAAAGGCATCTATTGGTGGAAGGAAGGTTTACTCTAGTTTTGTAAGACATTGCTTGATTGGGCTCAATAAAGAGCAAATGTACTATAGCAAACTATTATTTTCACTTATCTATGGGCCTGTGCTTTGTTACCAGAGATCTGCTTGGCAATAAGTAAAAGAAATACACCAAGTAATTACTTTTAAAGCTTAAGTGATTAAGCCACCCTACTATGAAGGATGAGTTGATATAATCACAGAATAATTTAATTTGGAAGGGACCTTTGGAGATCTCTAGTCCAGCCTCCTGCTCAAAGCAAGGTTTGTTATGACTGCAGATCAGGTTGCTCATGCCTTTATTCCAAATGGATCGTGAAAAGCTCTGCTTAGCCTCTGTAAGCAATATATTCCACTACTCAGTGAAAAGTTATGTCCCTCCACCGTGCACTGCTTGAAGAGCCTGGCATCATATTCTTAATTACCTTAATTGGAAGGCTGCTGATCGGTATCCTCCTAAGACTTCTCCTTCCCTGTCTAACCAAGCCCAATTGCCTCAGCTTCTTCTCTTGGAATATGTCCCTCCTTATACCTTTGTTTTTATGATGAAAGTTTTGCTGATGTTTTGTCATCACTTCTAACAAAATAAAAGGATGATACTTGTTCCTCTGATGAGATAAATATGTGGACAGGGAGGGCAATGAATGTCATCTGTGCTGCAGGGTGTTTGGTATGCTGTCCTGCATACAGAGTGATAGACATAGAGTGTACAGAGGAAAGTTACATCAAGAAACCTCATGAAATTAAAGAAGACTCACCGTGTGTAGGTGAGTCCTTAGCAGTTGTGTAGATGGGGCCTGCCAGGCTGAGCAGCCAACCTACTGGTATCCTGGTAGACAGTAGGCTTAGTCAACAGTGCAGGATGTCTTAACAACATGGGAAGCTGCATCAACAGAATTGTAATCAGAAGATAAGGAAAGTGATTCTTCCCCTTCAGTTGGTTGTTCATAGCTTGTGCCTAGAATATCCGATTTTAGCCCTGCAGTACAAGAAAGATGTGTAACCTTGAGTGCTTCCAATGAAGAGATACTAAGATGGCAAGAGACATGGAGAATATGAACTGTGAGGCTAGGGAAGCCTGGTATATTTAACCTGGAGGAGAGAAGCCTTTGGGACACCTAGCTGCAGCCTTCTAAGAGGCTGTATTGCCAACAGGGGAATTACCAAGAAGACCAACTTTCTGCTCTTTACTGAGTTGCGTGGCAGGATAATGAAAGATGGTATTGTCTAATTGAAACAAGGAAAGTTCTAACTGGATATGAGGGGGGAAAAAATATCTGTAAGAGTGACTGAGAACTGAAACAGGTTGCCTGGGATGTATGTGGAGTCTTTAAAAACTGGCTGTACGAGACCCAGACTAAATTGATCTTAATTTGATGTTATACCTGCTTTGAGCGAAAAGTTGGACTGTATAACTACCTGAACTGTCTTCAAACCTAAAGTGCTCTGTGATTCTGTGTCTGTCAGTCAGACTTTGTAATCTTATTGTTCTCTTGAGGTCTATAAGACCTTACTTAAAATATTTTGTGCTGCTTTGGGCATCATAAAATCAAGAAAGATAGATAGATGTGTTGGTTAGAACACATGCAATCACAACTTTTTAAACATGGTCTATGTGCAATGACTGAAGTACTGACTAAAGAAGAAAACAGTGAAGTGATCATGTCTCTGAATGCATAAATGGCCACAAGAAAAAGGAAAGGAATTAAAAAGTTCCTTCTGGCAGTGGTAGATAAGACGAAAATTAGTTAGATTCCTGTGGTAAAAAGAATTTCGTTAGAGCTTAGAAAAAAATTTAAGCAGTAGCAAATCTGTCTATGAAAAATTTGGAATTTGCTATTGGAGCAAAAAAGCAACTAGCATGAATTTTTTTCAGACTTCTGAATGCAAGAAGAGGTCTAATATAGAGTATTCTTATGAGATGTTATTCTGTGTTTCAGAGGAAACCTCATTACCAAAATTAAATACTTTCTACTGGCTGCTGTCTGAAATGAATTTTAAGTTTGACTTAGTTAAGCATATTCAGTAGAGTATTTATGAACAGAAAAAAGTGGTAACCTTGCTGACTTTTGGTAGGATTGGGATTAAAGTCCATTACTGTTCATAGAATCAGAATGGCCTGTGTTGAAAAGGACCACAATGATCATCTGGTTTCAACCCCCCTGCTATGTGCAGGGTCACCAACCACCAGACCAGGCTGCCCAGAGCCACATCCAGCCTGGCCTTGAATGCCTCCAGGGATGGGGCATCCACAGCCTCCTTGGGCAACCTGTTCCAGTCACTACCCTCTGTGTGAAAAACTTCCTCCTAATATCTAACCTAAACCTCCTCTGTCTTAGTTTGAAACCATTCCCCCTTGTGCTATCACTATCCACTCATGTAAACAGTCATTATGTTCTGAAGCCATATTGAAGACTCTGAAGTAATTTTTTTTTTCTTTCCAGAAATTTAGAAGGGGATGTTGCACTGAGAAGCTCTGCTGCTGTGTATACATATTGCAAATCTCGAGGACTGTTTGCAGGTGTATCTCTGGAAGGAACCTGTTTAATTGAAAGGAAAGAAACCAATCGCAAGTAAGTTCTCTCTGAATCTAGAGCATTCAATAGAGGAATAGTGATGCAATGAAATGGGATAAGTTCAATTGTTTAAAAAAAAAAAAAAAAAAAAAAAAAGAATTTGTTGTGAAAATGTTCCATGCTGAATTCAGGGTTTCTTCAATTTAGATGACAGGTATTGTATAAGTACACATTTAAAAGCTAAATGTTAAGAGACTCAGAATTTAGAATATAGTTATAGAGATATTTACTGTATAATAAGAAATATCCTTTAAAGTGACTTGAAACAAACCAGCTAAACAAAAAAAAAAGTATGTTTTAGATATCACTGAATTTGAGAGAACAATTTTTGGAGTGCTACTTCTGATGTGCAGCTTATTAAATTTAAAGTACTTAAGGTGCATCTGAGTAGGAGGAAATATTTGACATGCTTTTACTATGCTGCCGATCCTAAAATGTCAACCAAATAATTTCAAGAATTAAAATACAGTAACTGTGAGATGTCTATTGCACTGTATGTTCTATATTTATAAAAACTTTAATTCTGCTTATATGAGCAAGACTACTGTGATTTTTAATGACAACATATTATTTACTTCCAGCTATCTCCTGTCAAAAATTGCCATTCCAATGCAATCATGAAGGAATCTATGAAAACGTTTTGTAGAATTAATGTGTATTTCTTTAGTCTATTGTGTGATTGGCTTTCAAGTGGTCTGGCTGATACATGCTATGTGACCAATAACAAAATATAACTGGTGAAGAACATTTTCAAATAAAGTGGTGGTAGGCATCCAAGTTGGTTGCAGTTATTCATCATTTAGAATTTATCACTAGTTATGCCTCTTTAAAATAGCTGGCCAGAAGGAAAAGTCTGGAGAGAGGAGACACCTTCACAAGCTGGACTTATCTAGACACTGAAATACAATGGTGATCAAATACCTGACATCTTTTCTTTGATATCAGATTTTATGGGCAAGATATACGTGCTAGTGCCATCCTGTTGGGTGATGTTCCTTTTCCTGCTCAAGCAGAAGATCTTTATGAAACTCTAGCATCCTTCACTGAAGTATATGAAAATGAAGAGCAAAGAAACAATCCAGGAAAAGCTGTAAGGAAACAAGGAAGGTTTTGTGCAACTCCTCACAGACTTTTTTCTCTTTGTAAACTGTTTGCAGTCAAGCGTAATGGTAATCTTGGTGTTGTGATATTCACAAGATCTCTGTTGAATGCTTATAAATGTAATACGTAGCCAATAATTCACAGAATCATCACAGAATCATAGAATGGTTTGGGTAGAAAGGGACTTTAAAGATCATCTGGTTCCAACTACTCTGATATAGGTGGGGACACCTTCCTGTGTGTAATGTGTCCATTCAAATACACTTTTGTGTGTTGCACTGGTGGGCTTTTCTGGACAAGAATATTGTTGGTTTGGCGTTGTATCATCTAGAAGAACAATATATAGCTGCCTTTTTAGAACAGCACATAATCAAATCTGGAGATGATGTTGAAGTTTCTTCAAGCTATTCATAATCAAGTAAATAATGGGCATACTAGGTTCGATGTGAATAATCTTCATATTTTTCTACTTTTTGTCTTCCGTTCAGTAACATTTAAAATAATACTGAGAACTATGGAAGATTATTTATTCAGCTGTTATATTGATATGTAATCGCTTAGTTTCATCTCTTTAAAACGCACAGTGAATTTCTCTGTAGTCATGTGTATGTCACTAGTTATTTAGTGTACTTCTTGTGTTAATACGATTTCAGTGGAGATTTCAGTGTAACTTGGCGTACTTTTAGACTACGAAGTTAAATATTTCCAGTTTGATTAAACTTGTTTTAAAAATGTGTACATCTTAGGTAAATGACCCACCTGGTAGACCATCAAGACCCGAACCGCATAAACCTTCTGTTAAGCCAACACCACCAGGTTAGAAAATATTTTGAAAATGATTAATTTATCTCTTTAGTCTTAACTTTCTACTTCTATAATTAAAGTTATGAAGTTATTGTAAAAGTAAATGTCTATATAATAATGTTTTTTATATTCATTCTGAGTGCCATGAGCAATGAAGAGTAAAGAGTTTTTTGTTTCTTTGTGTTATATTAACAAATTTTTCTCTGTGACATATTTTCTATAGAAGTAATATTTGTTTAGTTACAAAAGCAAGTAATCGTTCAAAGAAAGCATGTTTATTTATTAGATGGATAGAAGACCCTTGGCTCAGTGATGTTTCTTAAGTGAAAAGTCCTGGTTCTAACAGAAACCTCTAGTCCTACTTCTAGAAACTACAGGTTTCTAAAATATTAGTTCTCCTTTAGGTTGTCATGTCTTTAAATAAGCAGTTCTCACAGTTGAGTGGGGAAAGTTTTGACTGTTAACATTTTGTCTACCAACATATTCACACTGAATACAAGTCAGTATGCAGTTTCTCTTGCTAACGTGATTTATTCCAGTAGATGTAAGACAGGATTTAAGAGAGAGCCCTTATTTCTTTCTCCTGTACTGCTCCTTAAATAACTGCAGTCATTTTGGAACTATTGAACATGTATTAGAAAACAAGTGTATGAAGTATAACAGTGCATGTTGATATATCGTATAAGTTGCTGTTAAATTTATCTTTCAGCTAAAAAGAACTCAAACAAGCTTTATCCTGAACTTCCAAGTGATTATGCCTCTCTGAGTAAGTACTGAGCTTACACATTTTATTAGTGCAATATGAAAGTACTGAAAGTACTTTGGAAGACGTCTATCAACATTTGCCCATTTCTTTATTGTCCATGAGTTAAAATGATATTTCATTGTGTACGTGCTCCTGAAAATATTTCATTAACGTGTATCTTATTCCTTGGCTTTATGTTCCAAAAAAAATAAGTCTTACAGCAAAAGCTATTTTGTTTTGTTCAATGACCTCGAAAAATACACTGAAAATAACAAAGCTATTTTACATTGCCATCTAACTGAAGTGAAGAAGAAAGCTGATCTAACAAGCTTGTGCCCAAACGCTTATGCAAGGTAGCATAACTCCAGTTTTAATTAAGAAGCACTTCCACAGATCGTATCTGATTATGCTTGCATAAGCATAATTTCTCTTGCAGTTATAGTTCTTCAGGTTTTTGTGAGATATCTCTGCATTAGAGATATCTCTAAGTTGTTACTAATTGTTATGTTTTAGCCCTCTTAACTGTAAAGCAGGAGCAGTCTGAGCTCTGACAGAGAATCTTACTCTGTAGTATTTGCGGTGTAACTCTTGTGGGGCCCATCAACTGGAAACTTGTGATTCATTAGGGAAAATGTTATGATTGAACTAGTAATGTTCAGGTAGCTACCATAGTGGTCTCTCCCATAAAAAATCCCATCTTTCACAGAGCAGAGACTGCTATTTGAAAGTCAGTGAGGCAAGCTGCTTGATACAATATATTCTCCTGTTAATAAATAAATGTTTTTGTGGTTTTGGCTGGGATAAAAACCAAGGCCGACACATTCTGTATTACGTGCATGTGTGTGTATGTACGTTCACGTGTCTTCACATATTTCATACACCAATAGAAAATAAAGTGAAACCATTTCCTTTTTACTTAATCAAACTTGATAACTGGTCACAGAAGAGTCTAATTCAGGTAGAGTGTTGTCATTTAACACAGTACTTATCCTGTCTTGTCTGAATGCCAAAATCTTGATTGTATTTTTAATTTCTCAATTCATGTAATTACAGATTTTCACTAAAAATGAGGTCAATTATGTGTTATTGTCTTCATAATCTTCCCTGTTATCTTTTCTCCATATGTGCTGTTGGGGTATGTATGTGTTGATGCGACCAACATAGCAGGAATTTAGGCTGAGCCATCGATATATTTCTGCAAATCCCTAAAGTCCTTCTAAGAAGAAAAATTTTCTGCCATGATGTAAAGCTTTTCCTGGGAAAAAAAATGATGTTTTTCCCAGGAAAAGAATACTCAGCAGCTGTTTTCCAGAAAGAAAAAAAAAAAAAATTGGTCTTCTGACCAACTAAAATGTACAAGTCTTCATAAAACCCTGACTAACTGAGAAGTTTCTCCAGGAACAGGGAAAAAGATCAAACATACATTTGCTATATTAAAGGGAGCGTTCTATTCAACATAAGTGAGAAGGTAAAAATCTTCCATAGCTCATAGTTGATGAGTTTACAGATGACTTGAAATCAAAAGATTAGACTGAGTCAGTCTGTTACCAAGGATTCCTACAGATTTCTAAAAATTCACAAAGCTATCTCTAAAGAGCACAAGAGGAAGTGGAATTTTCTGTAAAAGCATTTTCTTCAAGAAATGTCTTATGGTAAATTTCATTTTTCTTACAAGCTAGATGTGGTATATTTTGCATTGTATTGCAGGTTCTAATTTGTTTGATAACTGTTCAAGTGGTATCTGAATCTACAAAATACTGTATATGTTTCTATAGGTTATAAAGGATTGTTCTTATTACAGGGGTAAAACAAGGAAGAAGTCAGTTCTCCTCTGTCTGTTAATACCAAAGCCTTTAATGCATAGAATTATAGAATGATTTGGGTTGGAAGGGACCCTAAGGGTCATCAAGTTCCAACCCCCTGCCACAGGCAGGGCCACCAATCTCCAGATCTGGTACAAATGCACGTTGATGGGAGTCTGGAAAAGAGTTGCAGTCCCTTTCCCTACAGAAATACATGGTGTGTTTATGCTGAGTGATGGGGTAAAAGCCTCCTTAAGGCCATGGCTCCTGTCAGTAATCTGTTTCTTCCTGTTTATAATCCAGATCTAACTTCTACTATGCAGACTTCATTGGAGGATCAGTGGCTGCAATGGATGTTCCACAGTAATCTGAAAAAAACACTTAGCATTTCTTGCATCTTTATAATTACATTTAAAAAAATAATACACTTGTTAGATGGCTAATGGAAGAGTGCATGGAACTAATCTTTAGGAAGCTTCATTGTAGGTATAATGGTTAGTTCAGGGTTGGGTTTTGATAATGAGAAACAAACTTCTCTGTGTTGTAACACAAGGAAGTGCCTTTTCATTTTTCCTTTTTTGGGGTTAGGGAAGAGGGTGGCAGGAAGGATGTGCTGATCAGAAGTTTTGTCTTTTCAACAGTTACGAAAGTAGAAGAACGGCTGAAATGTTCACCCATCTCATTAAATGAAAGGGGAGCTAGACTTGCAGATGAGACATTTTTAATTATATTTTATGTAGTTCTGAATTATCTAAAAAGGTTATATTACATTGCTTATTTCAAACACAAGAATGTTAGATGGAAAAACATGTTTTTTCTAAACTGATAGTGTGATACTTGACTGAGATGCAAGTAGAGTGTTTTCATGTAATTCAATAATACTTAAGTTAATGCATTTAGCTGGAAAATAAGATTCAGAAACGCTTTAAAATTTTCCATGCACTTGGAAATATCACACATTTTATTTAAAGAGGAATAAATAATTTGCAGAAACCTCTTGCAATTCTGGAAAAAAAACATGGCTGAGATTGTGATTCAATGGAGTAAAGTTTTTACAGTACTTGAGGAATAGAGGTGTGATTTTATTTTGTTTTTATTGTTTGGGGTGGGTTTGTTTTGGTTTGTTGTTTTTTTTTTAAAACTGTTTGGCTAAATTAAATTTGCTCATGTCTATGAAAGTTCTTTGCTCCTACCCTTCTAGCATAAGGGACTTGTAACTTTAAGTTTCTGCTTGTTCCATGTATGTTACATCCAAATAATAAAAGGGCTGACTGGTTCTTCCAAGTTTTATAAGCATAATGTAGCTTAGGTTATCTGGATAGAAGGTTTCTGTAGAGTTCTGTACCACATCTGTAATCTAAGTGACTCATGGCTCTTCAGGGGACTACTTGAGCATCGTAGAATCAGAATACAAATTTATTTTACTACGACTTTTTTTTTTTTAAAGAAACGTAAGGTTGTTAGCTTGTCACACTTGAATGATACCTAGTCCTAGATCTTTGATTCTTTTTATAGTGTGTTGTTTGCCCATTATTTCTATTTGACTTTATGCTACAGAACAGCAGGCAATCAAAACTGTAAATGAACGGATTCTTTTTTTATCTGGCTGTCATCCAAATAGTTTGCTGAATACTGTACAGTTCTGAAAACACTGCAGCCATTTTTCAACTAAACTGGTAGAAGCAGGAAATTTTGGTGAGAACTAAATAATTAACAAGCAATTTGTTCAGGATCAGAAGTCAATGTTTTTGTCACTTTTTCTTCACCTCAGCTAGTCTGAAACAAAGACTGGTTCACATGTATGGAAGAAAATCACTTAAATTGGCCAAGTTGCTGAAACAATCAGGAAACAGAATTGAGATAGGACTTGGGATGAGTGTATTCATTTTCCTTAAGACAATAACAAAAACTTTCTAAATGTTGTTCCTTCACTGTTCATTTGCAGTCATCGTAAGTTAATATGAAACAGTTCAGAGGCATGAATTCTCAGAATGCATACTTGCTTAGCATTTCATTCTGTCTCTGCTCAGTAATGTGTTCCCTTTCAGGAATGTTTATTAACAGTGGTTTATTGTTGCAGTGCTTTACGAATATATGTTTTTTCTACTAACAAAAATGCTTCCATTTGTAACAGAATAATTATTTTATCATAATTAGGAAACAGCAGTTATACAGTTTACATCTTCATAACAGTTGTACAATTTGCTTAAGAAATTCATGAAACCTTGTGCTCATATATCCTAAGTGTTTGAGATTTGGTTCATTGGTGGTTTTGTTTGTTTGGTTTGTTCCTGTTCCTTAATATTTCTGTCAGACACATTGGCTTTTTTACCTTTCATAAGTACTTGAACCAAATATTTTTAATTTTAATTTTATTTTTGTGCCCTCTTCTTTTGATTTTTGAGCTGAATAAATATCTATCTATGATGCTTATTGTGGCTGTATTCACTAGAGCTCTTTCCTGCCCAGTGAGTTTACCTTTCAGACACTTCTGCTGTAACCAAATCACCTCTTGATCTTTCTTGATCTTTCTTCTGATTGTTAAACAGATTGATTAGCTAAGTCATGTTCTTTTTTCATCTCAAATTTTAAATAGTACTACAAATAGCAAATTCTGAGTTGTAAACTCACTGAGATCAGTAGGATTTTGACTTCTAAAAACCATAATGAATTTAAGCCAAACTCTACTCCTTACCATTTATTTATTTACATCTTTTTATTTATTGCTAATCCATGTTAAAACAGTTGAGGCTGTATCAATCCTTTCTGAGTAGGTACCATGAAGTTGTGGCAAACTCAGAGGTGCTGCTTTTCATTCTTACAGTTCTCCAGAAATCAGGTCTGGTGCAATTCTCTGTAATTTTTGGGGTGATCTCAATGTATATTTCAATAATCTCTGAATTCCAGCTGGTTGTGTCAGTCTATGAAAATTTGATTGGTGTGACAGTTCTAAAAAAGACTTTCATGCCTCCTTAAGCATATTTTGACAAGGAAATTTTAGGGTTTGTATACAAATTTATTTGTTTTGTTTGCATATTATGGCCTTTTCTGTGGCCAGTTACGCATATTAATTAAGCCAAAAAAAATTAAATGAGTTAAGAATGCTTCTGAGATACAGAGTTAACAAAATTCTGCAGCTCTCTGAGCACAATATCAAATCTTTTCTTTGTGACCTCCTGTTTTACTTACTGTACTTGAATGCCTGCTCTACACTTCAGT